TAAGTCGTATATAAGTAGCTACCAAGAACTTTTACACATTTGTCTTCTGTCTTTTCGTAATTGTATTTTTTCTTCATATTTTATGTTACTTCTTTTTTTTTTCATTTAAAACTATTTTACATATTACTTTTTGTGTTCTTTTTGTTTACTGTTTCTCCCTTTTGGTGAACCACAAAATTGACTTTTGACTCAAAAAACGGCGTTTTTGGCTTAAAGTTAAAAAATCTTTTACGGCATGTACTTATGTATTTTTTTGTTTTGTTTTTATATTTGTTTATACATATTATTCTCCTCTTAGGCTCTCTCTCTCTCTCTCTTTTTATCTAGAGACTTTTACTTCGTGTTTATATTATTCTCAAATTTAAAGCTTTTGCGCCTGCGCCGTCAAGTTTTCCTGTTCACGTTGACGACGCCTTCAGTAGAAAAATAATGAAAAATGTTTTTTTTTATCAATTTTTTTTTTCATGTTTTATTTTTGTTTAAAAAAATGTGTTTGCATGTCTTTTTTGTTGCTCTTTGTGTTTGTTTGTTGTTTATTTTACTGTAACATTTTTTTTCTTGTTTTGTTTTTCATTTTTTCTTCTAATTGACTGAAATTGATTTTTGTTACAAGGACGCATTTCATGTTGGTTGTTGTTGTTGTTGCTTTTGTTGATCCGGTTTACCAATAGAGTGTTGTGCATGAAGTTGTTTGTTGTAGTTGTAGTTTCAGTTGTTAATGTTGTAGTTGTAGTTTTTGTTGTAGCTTGTCTTCAGATTTGCCTTTAACAATATAGAGCAGTTCTACAAATAATATCGTATAAAGCATTTTCTTCTACACATAACGAACGTTAACAGGGAAAATGCTAGAAAAAATTCAACAGTACGCTTAAAGCTGATTTTGTTTTTGTTTTACTTATTTACCTCGTACCTCAACATCGGTTTGTTTGCATCGTACTATATAAGTATATATATATATGTATATATATAACCGACAACACTTTCAACAATCAGTCCATGGACGCATTGCTAAAAGCCTTTCGGATCAAGTTCGATATTTTTGTTGGTTGTTTTTTTTTTATTTTTTATTTTTATCGGTTTATCGACTTAGAACATAGAAAAATTTACTAGCTGGCGGCACTTTGGGCCAGCAAAGATGTTGCCTACTCAATTTTCTTAGTTGTTTTTGTTTTTGTTTTGGCATAGCTGCCTAGAAATGATTCCTTATGGGCTTGGGTAGCGATTTCGATTACTCGAAATCCCCAAATCGATAAACGAGATTTAGTTACTACAATGTGTGTGCTGCTTCTTCATCTTCTTCTACGACAGTCCAAAAATGTTTACAAGTAATTTACAATATGCATATATAATATTTTGTTGTGTGTGGGAGAGAGAAGCATTTCAGCTTCTTCTTCTTGTTCTTCAATAATATTAAATGTATATATATATATTTGTTTTTGTTTTGTATATATATTTTAATTGTATATATATTTATGTATATTTATATATTGGTGTATATTTAATGTATTCAAGTTTTTGTTGTTGGTTTTTTTTTTGTTTTTCAAACTTACTTAGCTTCTTCCTCCACGGCTTCTGGTTGTGGTTCTTCCTCGTCAGTTTGTTGTTGTTTTGAATTATTGCTTTTAGAACGTGTCTTAAAAATATATTTATTTATTTATAATTATATACGCATATGCCTTATATATACTATATATGTATATATGTATATAATATAACATTATACGGCTCTGCAATGCTTCTTCTTTGCTCTCTTTATTTTTAGCTTCTCGATATTCAATTTCTCTGTCCCGAATTTCGACATTATTTTTATATTGTGTTGAATTCGACATTTTTTTTTTTTTCATTTTTTTTTTTAACAATTAGTTTTAGTTTAGCGTTAAAGTAACCATTGCCTTGACTCCCTTGCAGATTGTATGTATGCATGAATCTCTCTACACACATACGTATACATAAGTAAAATGTGTGTGTGTGTGTATGTTTGTGTCTTCCTCTTCTTCATCAGCACTTAAGATATAGATCTCGTCATACTGGATTGCCTCAAGCCGATTCAGTTATATATTGTAATATATATATATATATATGTAATTTAGCAGCTTAGTTTCGCCTATCTAAAAATGGTTTTCTCTTTTTATTTTTTTTTGATTATTCATATATTCATATATATACATATGCATATATGTTAATGTATTACTTGTGAACCAAAGTGTTGCGAATCCATATCTAAAAAGTATCCAACTACCTGAACACCCTTACCATTTCAATTGTCTGTCTGTTTGTCTGTTTGTCTGTCTGTGTCTGCTTATTGTTTCTTCTGTGTTTCTCTTGCTCTTGCTTATTATTTGTTGTCAACATTATAAACGCTATAACTATATTTGTTGTTGTTTGTAATCTTCGGCTTCATCTTCTGCTTTTGTATATGTCTATATTTATATCGTATTTGTTTGGTTTTGTCTGCTGTTCTTGTATGTTTTCCTTCTGATCCCGAGACCTTAGCTGGCAAAGTCCAGGCGAGCGTTGGTTTCGACAATTTGGCAAAAAAGTTATGAAAGGAACATATTGTATTTTTCTGCTTCTCAGATTCATCTTCACCTTCCCGTTAGCTTCTTCCACTTCTGTGAGTAATGCTAAAATCTCAGACAGACCAAAAAAAGCGCAATATATTAATTGTGTTTTTTTTTCTCTCTTCTTCTTCTACTTTTTTCTTAATTGTCAGTTAGTTTTTGTTGTTGTTCCAATAATTGAATATTATATATATGTATATATGTATACATACATATATATTGTTGTATATAAATATATTTTTCTATGACGCCTTCCATCTCCCTCTCTCTCTAGTCTTTTTCACTATCCTGTCGTCCTGCCAGTCCCGTCATCCTGGAGACTCGAGACATGAGACTAGAAAAATTAATTGCACATAATGTGGCCTGCTTTTATTGAACATATATATGTATGTGTGCGTGTCCCTTTTGACCTTGGAACAGCACTACATACATATATAGTTTTTATTTATTTATATATATTATTTTTCGTTTTTGTTTTTGTTTTTTTCTTTACCCATGTTCAACTGGCTTTTCTTAGTTGTAATTGTCTTTTTTTTTGTTTTGTTTTGTTTTGTTTTATAAATATTTTATTTACTTAAATGTAATATATATGCTGTATGTATAATAGTTCATTGTTATATTTGCATATGCGCTTAGATTGTAATTTGTTTAAGTTTTTTCTTTTGTTTTGATTCATCAGTTGTATGTGTGTATGTGTGTGTGTGTGTGTGTTTTAGCAAATAAATTGATTTATGCCTCGAGTTATGCGAAATTCAATCTCTCAATTGCGCTCATAATGAATGCGTTTTTTTTACCTTCTCTTCTTCTTCTTCTTCTTCTTTTTTAACATATTTGTCTAACTAACCATATGAATTTGTTATTAATGAACACAAAAGAGTTTGCAAGTTAAAAACGAAACACACATTTGATTTAACAAATTATAGTTGAGCTGCATCAACTCAGTTTTCCTTTCTTCTGCTTCTTCTTTTGGCCAATAAACTTTTGTTTTGGATTGTACTTTAAAATAAATTCATAATTCATAATTTGCATCTAAATATTTTCATTATATTTTTGATTTTTGATTTAGCAACGAGAAGAACTGAAATATTTATATACAGAGTATATAATATATATATATACGGACAGATATATCGGATCGATATAGAGAGAGATCTTGCTCTCCCTCTCTCTCTGTACTTATATATATTTAAAGAGAGATATATCTAATACATACAGAGAGATCTCTCTCTCTCTCTCTCTTTCACTCTCTATTTTTATATACTCTGTATTAGCAAATATTGGGCATGCCCGACTTGACTTAACAAATAAATTGCAAATTTTTGTTTGATCTTTTGATTTGTGTAATTCGTATTTTTGTCCTCATCATCTTCTTCATCGTTTTCTTTGTATATATTGCAGTTTGTACATATATATATATATATTATATATATATGTGTATATATATATGTTAATCGACTTTTAACTTTAAAAGTTACAACTTAACTTTAAGCATAGCAATAATAATGTTAATAATCATTTTACTTGTAATAATACGCAATTAAATAATAACATATTTCGCTATTATTGCAACATTTGTAACTTTATTTGTTTTGTTTTTCTTTCTTTTTTTTTAGTTATTAATTAATAAATTTTATTTTATTTTTTTAATTTTGTTTACTTATTTTTGTTTTTGGTTTCATTTAAAACTTTTCGGCTGCCGGGCAAAAAAAAATTGTTGCCTTGCGCCCGGTTTGGCCTTGGTGTGTCTCTTGTATGTGGGCGTGTGTGTGTGTGTGTTTGTGTGTGTAAAGGCCACGCCTACTGGCAACGCCTTACTGCTGCTGCTGCTGCTGCATTTCGTTTAATTTGCATTTTAAACGATTTTTGCTGCACGCGTTGCACAATTTTCTTTTTTTTTTTTGCCTTTCTGCTTGCTTATTTGATTATTTGTTAATATTGCTGTTGTTGTTGTTGTTGTTGTCATTAAATTAAAATTAAATTGTTTTTACGTTATAAATTGTATATGCATACAGGTGTACATATGTATATATACACATACATGTACATGTATGTATATATATATTTCTGTATAGTACATAAACGTTAATTAATTAATTGTTGTGTGTGTGTGTGTGTCAGTGTGTGTGTGTTGGTGTGTGTATTTCTGGTTTATATCATACTTATTGCTGTGTTTTGCTTGGCTGCTTAACAGATTTTATTTTGCTTTGTGCACAAATTTATTACCATGCACAAGCTTAAATATATTATATTTATATATGTGTGTGTGTATGTGAGTTATATACGCAGCTTTATATATATATTTGTGTATATATATATAAACAGTTACAGTTACTTTGCTGTTGTCAATTGTTGTTGCTTTTATTGCTGCTGCTGTTGCTGTTGCTGTTGCAGTTGTTGTAGTTGTAGTTGTAGTTCTTGTTGTTGTTGTTGCTGGTGTTGTTGTTGTTGTCATTGCGGTTGTTTCGGCGCCACCTTTATTTTAATGGTATCCATTTGTAAATGCCGCAGGAATTAGTGGTCCCTGTAAATAGAACGTTTCGCATGGCACAAAACAAATACACACACAAAAAAATTATTCAAATAAAATGCATTCGGCGAGCAACAAATGCACACAGACATACGTATATAGGAAAGTTATTTAACATTTATAGAGTAGACATATATATATATATATATACACATAGATCAAATAGATTCAAATAGATGTATATATATATTTATAAAGTATTTGAGATAGAAAAAAATTATTTAATTTATCTAGAAAATGTTTTTTTTTTTTTTTTGTATGCGAGAAACGTTGTTTTGTAACTTGTGGCAAAGTTTTTCAAGTTTTAAACGAAAAAGTATGAGAAAATATATATTTACTTAATATGCCTAATAAATAGTTTATAAATATATATTTTTGATAATTAAAAAAAAAAAAAAAAAAATAAAAAAAAATATATAAAAAAATATAAATAATTTCATAAAATAAAAAAATATCAAAAAATTTATATTTATATTATATGGTATATTTATACATTTTAAAAATATAAACTTTAAATATTTTATTTTTTTTATTTTTATAATTTCTTTTTTTTGATAAACTAAAAAAATATTTATAAATATATAGATATATTTTTTTATTTCTGTTTATTAAATCATAATCATAAATGAACTTCATACAAGGAAAAAAATTTCACATGGAATTCTTTATTAAAACTTTGCCACAGGCTTCAGTAATGAACATGTGTTTGTGTGAGTGTCTGTGTGTGTATGTATTATGATGGATGTTTGTTAGTATCAGCGCTTATATTAAATATTTTATATATATTACATATTGTATATAAATCATAATTGACCTAGAAAACTGTGCTTATAGAGTGACGTGCATAAAATAGATTTTTTTACTTAATTCGTTTTTTTTAATTTGATTTTTTGACTAGGTTTTTTGTTAACGTAAATGTAATTGATATTTTTAAAAATTTATTTTTTTTTGTATGTTTGTAAAATATATAGTTTTGATTGATAAATAATTGAAATTGTTATTGGAAAATAAACACGCTGTAGTTTTGTTGGTGTGCCTACCTTGTGCAACTGCGTTTTGTTATATAACTCTTATTACTTTTTTCTCTCTTTTCGCTTTTCATTTCTCTTTTATATATATTTGTGTATATATGTATATATATAATTTTCGATTTATATATATAATTGTATATACTTTTTGCATTTGTTTTTGTTTTCTTGTTTTATTTTGCTTTCTTTTTTTTTTGGATTTTGTTATCTTATTTTTTTTGCTTTTTTGCTTTTTTATTTGGGTTATCAGTCTTTTTATATATTAGCCATCGCAAAGTTCAACGAATAAATCTGTACGAAATGAAAGAGAAATACATAGTACAATATATTTATGGGAGGTCAACGCAATAACTATGTAGCTAAATTATTTCTATATATGTATGTATAGATTTTGCTTAAGTAATTTAATTCGATTGTGCTTAGGAGGCGGAGACGGGCATTCGTCGGCATCGATGAACGGCAACGGACAAAGCACGCCCCTTGCCCCCTGCCCCTTGCTCCCTTGCTCCCTTGCCCACTGCCCCCTGGACGTCTATTGATAGTTGATTAACTCGTGGAGAGGCTCCTCGTACTTACCGGGCTGTAGTTCAATGGGGCACGGCTGACGGCTATGGGAAAGCCGGATGGCTGCGGACTGGTGGCCTGTACGTAGCCCACATTGTCGGCCCCGGCCGAGCTGTACATGTCAATGGTTGGTCCGGGCGAGTTGGTTGAGGGAAAGCCCTGCCGTGTGGCCGTGGTGGCGGCCGCTGCATGAGGCGAGGCCGACGGACCGAAGCTGTGGGCGGCAGCAGCAGCCGCCTGATAGTTGTTCATCACTGCAAGCAGAGGAGAGGGAGAGCTCGATGAGATTTGGAAAGATAACTGAGATATACTTATGCATTAATATGAGAGATGAAAATGAATGGAGCTGAAGCACTTTGCCTACAACTTTCAATTGAATCGTAAGCCTATCAGGATTGTATGAATCTATTGAAACAGGATATATGGGAATGTCTATTGATGACTGAAGATGAAATGGTATGCGAAATAAACTCTCTGCACGGCTATCTATCGTTTATGCATAAGCTATCGATAGAAGTTTAGGTCTGTGAAGCCTGAGCATGTAAGATTTAATTTATATACTATTTGAAAGAGAAGGACTAAGATTTTCCATGATTGTGTAAATCAATTGAAATACTTATTGGAGATTGTTAAGTGAAACGCTGGAAGTGAAACACTATATGTAGAGGTAACAGTAGAAGTGTGGGTCTATTAATAAGAGTATGTACCTAACGAATTACAGGAATGTTCAATTGTTGTATACATATATGGTTGAGCATGCGACGTACATTCAAAGAGTTAACGTAGAGCTAGTTTAAGATAATATTTTATAATGCAATAATGATCATCTATTTATATTCTATTCTATTTCTAAGGTGCCTTTCCATTCAATATTTTCACTAATTCCATTACAAATCGTAAGTCTTTAAAAGATGATTGCAAAACCAAAAACATTCGGAACTTACCTGACAAAGCCTGTGTTAGTAGTGGTGTATTATTGTTGGGGGTCAGCTGCCCGTTGGTTAGATCAACTGCAAGTGGCAAAAGATTGCGAGAGTTGTACATTAAACGGGGGTCAAGTCAAATGAAAAACAGCTAGTTAAGAGCTTGGGCACATATAAAAGAAATACCTAAGTTATATAGGAATATACATGTATATATATATATATAGTTATGAAAGTCATCAAAGACTGAGCTCTAAGTGGTATATATAGGTATATAAAAGAGAAATCAAACTTTTACGATTATAATTAGTATTAGGTAATGTAAGTTGTCTATCTTTTTTTTTCTTTTCGAATGTTGTAAGTGGAACAAACAAATCAAACAAACTATTTAGTATATATATACGATTAACTAAGGCTGCACTAGAGAGTATAGAGTAAAGGAAGAACCCGAAGCCCACAAATCGAAATTCCACAACTAATGTTATTTAATGGAGCTATATATAGTATAGATGTATGGGTATATAGAAGAGAGCTACACGACAGAGCCAACTTGGAGGGCAGGTTATGAAAACACGAAGAAAGAAGAAGAGAATAACACAAAAAGTGTTTCTGCTGGGTTATTAAATGAACGTTGTTGTTGTGTTCCTATGAATGGAGGCCGGGCTGGGGGGATGAGGCGGTGGAGCGGCAGAGAAACGAAATACAGTTAGAACGCTTGGCTGCGGCGCACTTTGCTTTTTTGGGCGCTTTTACTGTTATCATTGTTGTTGCTGTTGTTGTTGTTGTTGTCACGGTCACAGCTGCTGCAGCAAGTAAAAATACGCCAGCGCCAATATTGAAATGACAACAGAATGAGCATGGCCAGGGGGATTGTGGGTGGGCAGTCGGGATTGTGGGTGGAGGGGCGTGGGAATGGAAACGGGTTGAGGGCAGGAGGCATAGACAACATTGGGCTAAGAAGTAACGGGTTATGGCTAACGGATTACGGGCTGGCAGGCAAGGCGCATAGCAGAGAGAGAGAGGGAGTGAGAGGGAGAGGTGTGGTGGGGTTGGAATTGTAGCAGTTGCATTTCCTGCGGAAACACAAAAATTGATGTAACGTAACGTGACGTAACGTAACGAGGCGTGGCTATGCCAGACGTTTGCTTATTGTGCTCGTTGTGCGTGTGTGTGCGTGCGCGTGTGCCTGTGCGTGTGTGTGTGTGTGTGTGTGGCGCCAATCAAGTTTGGCTTACGTTTAGTTTACGCTATTTTCATTTATTCTTTTTTCGGGATGTGTGCGCCATGTTGTTTTCATTAGCGGGCAAAAGCTGCTGGCTATAGAGCTGGAAATAGCGGTAACTGCCTTTTTCTAAATAAATAAGTTTTTAGTTTCATCTATATAGCTATATGCTCTTCTTTTCTTTCCTTCGACAGTTGCAGTTGTCGTTGCGTTGCCGTTACCGTTGCCGTTGTTGTTATGGGCTTCCGGCAGGGGCAGCTGGTGTTGTTTCGTAGTTGTTCGACTTGTGGTTTGGTAAACAACACTGTTTGTTGTTTAACAAGATGGCAGCGTTGTCAAAACTTGAACGATTTACCAACACTAAGGCAAGAGGAGGACAATGTCTATGAGACACGCAAAAACGCAAAACATGAACTGATTAAAAACACATTTCAAGAGCTACGCTTAAATTAGGTGAATAACAAAAGAACAATGAATACAGAGAAAGTGTGAGAGAGACAGAGAGAGAGATAGAGATATATATATGGTATGTATATGTTTACTTATGACTATAGATATATGAGCTATATAATTTTGCTCCATTTTCCAACACTACACAATTGTTTTTTCAATTAGTGTGAACTAAGACTAGTTGCTACATTAATTAGCTTAAATTTAGTTTACAAATAGATTTCATTTTTTGTTTGTTTTTGATTTTCTTTTATGAACTACTATTAGTTTGATTATAGTTTCTAGTTTGGTTAGGACTACACACACATATGTATATATGTATACTATCTAGAAGGTGTGAGAATACATATGAGAGCTACTGTACTGCCGCCGCGCAAGCAGTTTACAATTTGAGTTGCGATTGCCCATGATTTATTTATTATTTATTTATTTTTTTCACTAAGACTTCAGCTAAATATAATCAATTAACAAGCTAACATTACATATAATAGTTAGAAAATGTGTTTAACGGCTTTTGCGTACAAATATATATGTTTATAAAGAGAGAGATAGAGAGAGAGAGAGAGAGTATATCTATATATAAAGAGAGATTATGCTGTGGGATTATGCAGTTTTTTGACCATTTTTAGCTGACCTTGTTGGCAGTTGTGGCACATCTTCAGCTGCTGCTGCTTCTTCATCTTCATCTTTAGCTGCTGCTGCTTCTTCTTCATATTGCGCATACGCCTTGTTGATCCATTTGCTTGCTGCTTTCTAACGCTAGTAAGTCTAAAGAGCTAAGGCCTTGCGGCTAAAAAATCATAAACTTGGCTTTGTTTTTTTTTTCGGATTTTATTTCCATTTTTTGTGCATTTATTTAGTTAATAACTTTTTTTTTTTTTTTTTTGTTGCATAAGCAATTTCGAATTATGCGTTTGGCAAATTTTTGTTTCATCATCTTGGTTTGCTTTTGTTTTTGGTTTGAAGCGTTTTCTTATAAATCACAGTATATACGTGTAAAATACATAGATATGCGTGTGTGTTTGTGTGTGTGAGTAGTTAGTTATGCATGTGTGTGTGTGTGTGTGTGTTTGTTTATAAATAACTTGCAAGCATTTCATATATATATATATATATATATATGTATATATATGTATATGTATGTATATATAAGTTTAGATACCTTCAAGCAGTTTTTGCTGCTTTGTCCTTTTGTTTCATAATTCATATTATAATTTTGCCAAAAAATCTTATTGCATTCAATTAACTAATTAACAGCTTTTCTGTCTTTTGCGTGTATACGTGTATATGTGTATGTGTATTGGTAGCTAAGTAAACGAACTTACATTAATGGAAAGGACATTAGAAAAATTGCATTTTTCATCAAACTTAAACTTTGCTCTTCGAAAATGGATGGACATTAATATTGTATTTCATTTTTGTTTGATTTTTGTTGTTGTTGTTGTTGTTGTTGTCATATTTAAAAATTGATCGTTTCCATTATCATTATTAATATTATTGTACAAATGAAATTAGATTTTGATTTGATTTTTCTTTTGTTGTGTATAAAAGAAATATTTTTCAACTTATTTGTAGATATATAAACGTTTTCTTTTAGATATAATAATATAAATGTGTGTGTATATATATATATATGTATGTATATAGTTAATGTTTTATTCATATATAGAGATTTTCAATAAAAACTTGAATTTCGCTCATATTTTTGTTTTTGTTGTTGTTGTTGTTGTTGTTGTTGTTGATTCAGTTTCAGTTTCAGATGCAACAACGATGAAGGAATTTGTATGCAGGATATGCGATAAATGTTTATATGTATATGTTTTTATATGAATAGAGTTAGAAGGATTTCATATATTTGATAGAGAGAGAGATAGATAGATAGATAGATAGATAGATAGAGAGAGATAGAGAACTGAAAATTCAACTAATTAATGAACTTTTGCTAGAAATCTGTGCACGTTCGTTGATTATCTAAAAAACTCAGGGGAAACGAAATGCAAATAAAATGCAAAATGCGAAAAGAAAAACAAAATTCACATTATGCAGGAAATTAATTAAAGGATAATAATATGATGCTACACACACACACACATACATGTGACAGGCCTGCTAAAATGTTGTACTTTTTATCTAAATGGGTTTCTCATCCGTGTATGTGTGTGCGTGTGTGTGTGTGTGTGAGTGTATTTGTTTATTTTTCGTATATCGTCGACATTTGGGTTTCCCACTAATTTATGCAGATGGACTACAAATAAAAAATTTGCATTTAAATGCGCTAACTGTAAAATAGTTTTATTTTTATTTTTTTTTTACAAATAATACCAAATGGGAGTTGTTTAATGAGAATTAATGGAAATTACAAATGGGGTAGCATCAACGGAGTGTTTACTGCATGTACGTGTATACGTGTGTGTGTGTGTGTGTGTATTGTGTCATATCTCTACGGGTTTCTCTACACGTTTATGCGATTATGTTTAGCCTAAGGTCTACATATGTATCGAGTATATATGTATGTATGTATATCGTAAATCGAAAGAACTGCACTATAGATACGCCTGATATATGTGTATATAGAGACTGGGTATACGTAACTAGTAGCTAGCTATATAGGGGTTCCTCTAGGCAGTACAAACAAATGCTAAGTATGTGTATTTAGTAAAGGTCTAATAAGTGTCCGCTATAGTATATATATATATATCTAGATATGAGGGCCAGCTACAGTGTGTACACACATATATGCGCCAGCAGCACTAAATGTGATTATATATATATATAGTATGTATATATATATAATTTTTTCTTTTTCTTTTATGTATGGGTCTGCAATTACAAATAGTTGTATAAGTTCTTTATTAGATTCTGTTTGGTTTTGGTTTTGTTGATAGATTCAATATTTGTTGTTACCAGAAACAATCTAAGCTAATAAATTTCAATTGTTGTTGTTGTTGTTGTTGCTCATGTTGCTGTTGCTGTTGTTGTTGTTGTTGTTGTAGTACCTACTTGTCACAGTACAAATGATTTATATAAATTTCTTTCTTTTTTTCTGGTTTGGTTTGCGTATTGTCGTTGAGACCAAGCGAGAGAGTTAGAGAGAGAGAGAAAGGGAGAGAGAGAGAGAGAGAAAAGAAACAAAATGGCAAATGAAATATTAAATACAATATCGCCGGCCTCTCGCTTAGCTTGAACTGGTTCTCGTTTGTCGTTTATGCCGCTCTCTCTGGTTATCTGGCCCTTATAGGGTTTTCTTTCTTTATTTTGTTCGTATTTATTAAAAATTGATGTTGCCCAGAAATTGGGATTTGATTGCGGCGGTGCGCGCTGTCAGCGCCGTGGCCAGCGGCAAAGTCAGCGTTTGATGGTGTTGATGGTATCCCGTTTGGGGCTGATTGTGCACGGCAGCGGCAGCCGCTGCTGCACCGCCGCCAGCGGTGCAATTGGCGGCTCTGCTGCGGCCCGGATTCGTGCTACATGTGGTACCATAACTTCTACCGATGCCACAAATAGTTAAGCCTACAAAATCATATGAGACACAAAATGTAGAGACAAACAGAGAGAGAGAGAGAGTGGGAGAGAGACACAGAAAGAGAGAGAGAGAGAGAGAGAGAGTGGGTGACTAGGCTAGGGTTGGGACGAATGCGTTTATATGAATAATGATATTTCAGATATTTGCATTCGTGAATTTTAGGGCACGCTTCTTAATCTGTTTGCTAAATCTTTCTCTACCCTGATAATCGTTTATCGTTTATCGATAACTCTGGCTAGTGTCGGATTTGAGTAGTTTCAAATGCTTTGCCAACATCCGTTCCAACCCTAGCAGAACTAAAGAAAACACAATAATAAGAACCAAAACTAATGATGGGAATGCATGAAGAGGCGAGGTGGCTCTAGTACTAGCAAAGTGTTTGTGGATAATGAGTTTTGCACAGTGTATGCGTGTGACGTGATATGGGGAAGCACAAAGCCAAGCAGCATCAATGAATGTGCCTAGATAATGCAAATATGTTGTAGGAGCTGCTTCACTTGGGAATTTAATTTCAGTTTTGAGTACGATTTGTGCATTGATATGACGAACGCTCTAGAGTTTGGCTTCATTTGTTTGTATAGTAATAAGATGGTTTTGTTTTTATTAGTTCAGATTTTGATATAATACTCGATTGAAAAAATATCAGTTTAGATCATAGAGTCAGAGTCGCTTCTAGGCCGTGCTGCTGGCTGTCGTTGGGGCGACCAAATAATCACCGATCAGTATACGATTCTCCGGCATTACGCCCATAACGCCAGCTAAAAGGTTCCAGAAAGAAATAAATAGATTAAGAAGAAAAAGAAGAGAAGAAACATAGAAGGAAAAGGAATATTTCGACTGATACGGGAACAACAAATCATATAAATAGCAAACGAGAGTTTTCGAGCGATAGTTAGTATATTATGCTAATTAATCATGTTACATATATGTATGTATATATGTAGATGGATTATAGCTAATTGTTTGACTAGTTAAACAAGGCCTTTCGTCATATCAACTAACACAAATTGCAATGCGGGATAGGCTTTGGGCTTTAGGCTTTAGGCTTTAGCTTTAGTTCGATTTCAGAGTAGTCACAATACATTCACGCCAAATACATTCACACACACACTCACACACACACTGGGTCTTTTACGCACACGGGGCTTACGACATATGCATAGGATATACTAAATAATCATATATATTTATAAGTAGTTAAGGTATGTGTGATGATGTATGTGTGTGTGAGACAGAGAGAGAGAGATAGATAGAGAGTTGACTTACCAGTTGGATAGGGTAGTCCGAAGCTGGGATAACCCGAATAGCCGCGACCAGCGGCATAAGCAGCATACGCAGCTGCCGGAAAGCCTGCGAGAAAGAGAGAGAGATAGAGGGAAATCAGTTAGATAACATTATTTCAAATCCCTTCGGTAGATCTCATTTCATATGCTTACCTTCGGGCAATGTCCCCAGACCCCACATGATGTTATCTATATATGGAGCATGAAAAACAAGAGAGAGCACGAAAAAAAGAGAGGCATAAACATAAATCAATTACTAACATTCATAAGTGCGCTGAGTTAAATGCTAAGAGTACTCCTAGAAAACAAATAGATCAAAGAGATATATATGTTGATATATAAAGTTATATATTCGATAAAAGTCTAAGTCTGTTCAACTATATATGTATTAAATAAGTTCTGAAAGTGTTCGTGTGTGTATGTGTGTGTGTGTACTTAATGATCTAATTGTGTGTGTGTTAACTAAATAATAATCGATGAACATTTATCGATTATTATATACTATATACTAATATATATGTAAGTACTGCTGTTAGAGAGTTCGACAGATTCTAAAATGTTTTTTTTGGAGCAGCTTTTTCTTCCATTAACAGCCTCGACTTGCTGAGCTATAGTTAAGAATATATAGAGAGTTACATCTGTTGTACCATCGATACAAGTATATATATCTATGAATGTATATATAAATAGATATGACACAATTCTAAACACTTAGTTATATATATATGTTTATATAGAGTTGTTTAAATATTGTTGTAAATACGTAGACATTGTTTACTAGAAAGGAAAAAAAGAACACACATTTAAATACTATGCTAAAATGTAAATACTAGACTGTTATTTAGTTAATCGGTTCACTAGTGTAGTTGTTCGAGGCGGGGCGAGCATGAAAGCATTTCTAAAGCCTCGCTGCGCATTTCTACAAAATGTCACAGACTCTCGAGGCCCATTGCGTTTCATTGGCCCTCAACTAATTAAATGAATTCAAAAGTGTTTACACACACTCACAAATTGACAAAAAGGAAATGAGAAAAAATGCACTACAAAGAAAAAACAAAATGTGGTTGAAAAAAGAAACTAAAAAAACATCGTAAACAATTAAATAGCAAAAAACAATTGGACAGCTAGTTAAAAAAAATGTTAAATGTTAATTTAAATAGATTTTCGTTTTTTGTTTGGAATGTTTAATTTGTTTTGTTAGTTTTTTTTTTTCTGTGCTCCATGGCTGTCATCAATCATTCAATCAATCAATCAATTATTCGTTCATCATTTTGGCATCGTTTCCTGTGCGTAGTCGTTGTTGTTGTAGCTATTGTTGTTGTTGTTGTTGTTGCTGTTATGGTTGTTGTTGTCTTGTTGAACTTAGTCTTAGACACGAATGAGTACACTATTACAATGGACAACAAGTAGGAATGTTGCTAGTCGAGCATAGCCGACTATATAATGCTCGTTTATGAATGAACAAGTTGCGAAATTATGAAAGAAACTTTGGAAACTTTTGAATTATCAATATGGGTTTATCTAAAATGAGTCTCGATGGTAACATTTGGATAAGCTTAGCTGCACAATTAGAGTTGCCAACAAACAAGCCACGCCCCTAAAAGGCATGTACTCTTCGCCTTTTACTACTATACTTACTGCACACACTGGGCTTATACTTAATATTCGATTTCACAGACTCGGACAAAGTGCCAGACGAACCTTATATACCCTCTTTCACCACAGCTAAACGAGCATAAACATTCAAGTATTAGCTAGCAGTTAACTTGAAGCGCTTAATGCGCTTAGCAAGTAAGTAAATGTTTTCATTTATATATATAAATAAATGTATATATATAGTATATGTATACTCAATAGCTAAAGTTCATGTTTAAGTCAAATATTAATGTCTAAGTAGATGTATATGTGTGGGTATGTATGCATCAGTTATTAATTGGCCAACAGCTGGTAGGTCTGTGAGAGGCTTTTGCGCTTCAATTGACATTATCAATTTACCAGTGTTGTGAAATTTTCAAATTGGACAGACGGACGGACGGACAGACAGAAAGAGAGAGAGAGAGAGACAGGCAGCTGCCAATCTACGGTCACTACGTTTGCGACTTTCAAATTGTTTAACTAAAATGTTTGACACACATACACATACACACAGATTCTTATGTGTGTGTGTGTGTGTGTGCGTAAGCCTGTCGGCTTTATTTGTTGCCTACTTAAATGCGGCTTTACTTAAAAGCTAATTTTGATACATTTGCTAATTTATGACATTATTATATTGTAAACGTTAATTATATTCGGTTCTACAGTTGTTATACATTTTGAAGAGCTATTTTCGTATGAGCTGAAGTTGGAATATATAATAAATATATATATAATATATAGTATATATTGTATATAGAGTTGGTAAATGTTAGTTATACAAGTATTAGAAATATAATTGTGATTGATTTTTCTTCTTCTTTTTCTTCGTTTTTCTTGTATTTTTTTTTTGACATTACTTGTTTCTCAATTTGAATTTTCATCATATTTGCATATTCAGTTCTTACGCTCTAGTGTTGTACAATGTCTAAGACTTACACGCAGTTTGATTTACAGTTACGCTTTACTGTTACATGTAGAATATTACGTTCGTTGCTAGGTTAACACTAAGCATCGATAGTTAATCGAAACGTTGAGCAAAAACATCTATGCAGCTCTCTAGAAACTGCACTTAATTAATTAATTTTGTTAATTTTTTTGTTTTGTTTTAGTAAGTAATTATTTTTTTGGTTAAGCCTAGATCTTAAAACAAAATTTCTTAAGCTCTAGAGAAAGAAACGAATGCGTTACGCTAAGTTAAATTTTTAGAAATTAAGTATATATAATATATATCGATAATACGCATACGGCGCGTCCTATCGATTAGACACAGTAATGTATGTACATTTATATATGTATGTATGTATGTATGTACGTATGTATATTTATGGAGCATACATGGCTAGGGAGAATCATACACGTTTTAGACCTAAGACCTAAGTATAAGTAATGCGATACGTTCGCGCTTTGGACATTGAGACGGAATGAGAGTTCAGTATGTGTGTACGTGTGCGTGTGTGTGTGTATGTGTGTAAGCGTGTGTGTATATCAGACATCAGGCTGATTGAAAACGGTCTGCCGTTGGGCCTGCTCTAATATATGCTCGGGACGGCGGCTCACTGCGGCCTGGGCGGTCAGATGCCGGGCAGCTGATAGAGCGAGGCAGCTGCTGCCGTCTCGAGGCTGGCGGGCATCGCCAGCAGCTCGCTGAGCGGATAGTGGGCAGCGGCCAGGGCTGCATTCTGGCGCAGCTGCGCCTGCTGGGCGGCTGCTGCGGCCGCTGCTGCCGGCGCTGCGAGCGCGCCCAGGGTGGGCGTGGCCCGTAGGCCGCTGCTGACGGCGGCGGCGGCCAGCAGGCGCTTATAGCCCATCACAGCAGCCGCGTCCGCATAGAGAGAATTGGCCAGGGCGACATTGTTCTGTGTGGCATTCGCAGCAGCTGCGTATTGCAGCAGCGAGGGGGCGCCGGCGGGCGTGGCACTGGACAGTGGCAAGAGCGAAGGTGCGCCGGCGGCAGCGGCTACAACATGTGCGAGCGATTGCTGCTGCTGCTGCTGTTGCTGTTGCTGCTGCTGTTGATGCTGTTGGGCGGCCACAGCAACTGCCTGCTGTTGCTGCTGCTGCTGTTGCTGCTGTTGCTGTTGCGTGGCAGCTGCGGCCGCTGCGGCGACGGCAGCGGCTGAAATGTGCGTGGGCAGCGGATAGGGCGTGTAGCGCAGCGAGGCGGCCGCTGCGGCGGCGCCCAGCAGCTGCTGGTGATGGTGATGATGGTGTGAGTGTGTGTGTGAGTGTGGATGTTGTTGCTGTTGCTGGTGGTGTGAATGGTGTTGCTGTTGTTGCTGCTGTTGCTGCTGCAGCGCGGTGGCGGCAGCGGTTAAACTACTGGGCAAGAGGGCGGCGGCGGGCGTGCCGGCAGCAGCAGCAGCAGCGGCAGCCGTTGCCGCCGCCGCCGTTGCCGTCGCCGTCGCCTGATTCGCGTGGCTGCCCCAGACTACCAACTCACCGTAAGCGGAACGACCGGCCGCCCGTGTCTTGGCCAGATTTGCCGGCAGCATTACCTCCTTGGGCTGCGCCTTCTTGCACTCGACCTGGGAAGCAACGGGATTAGATATAGACAGAATAACGGCACAGCATTTCGTTTCATTTGGCTTCGCTCGACTTACCATTTTGTTGTTTATCTCATGGAAATGAATTTCACAAACTTTGTCTACCACATCTTCGCTTTGAAATGTAACGAAGCCAAAACCTGCAAAAAATCAAACAAACAGACAAATAAGAGAACCGAAATAGCCGAAAGAGTCAGTGAGTCGGAGAGTCAAGGCAAGTTGAAGAATGGGCAAACAAGTTTAAGAGCTGCAAAAATTGAACGAAATATGCTTTTGTGCGAGCGGCTAAATAATTTACTCAAGTGTCGAGACCGAGACGAGCCCAGACAGCCAGCCAGCCAGCCAGCCAGGCCACTGCCACTGCCACAGTCTTCCCTTCTCTGCACCACTTCAGCTCCACCCCTCTGCACCTCTCGCTGTTTCCCACCATTCGCCCCCTTGGCTGACCTCAATATGCGGCAGGGACTCAAGTGCCGCCCGAGCAGAGTAATTCAAACACTGCCCAGCTCCCAGTTTACATAGCAAACTTTGCCCAGCTCTGGAAATAACCCAGCCGAGTGCATAATAAGTTTGTCATGAAGTTTTTACCTACCTCCCCCCCTCGCCTGACCAACACTACTACAGCGCCCCACTAACTACTCTGCATGGCAGTGCTGATTCAGCGCATTCGTCGGGTCCCATTCAATTTCTATGCCGAAATTTTTCGTTAATTTCTGCCAAAATTTAGAATCTTTCATGGGCTGCTGCAAGAGTGGGCCACATGCCATTTCGAAACTATGCTGAGTTGGCTAGAGCTGACACTAACAAAATTATCGATAATCAATATGCAAGCGAATGTTGCTCAACACTGGCGCAGGATCTTAGCTGTGCATAACTTGTGAATGGTTTTTTACTTGAGTCCGGCATAATTTCATTAAAAACATATAGTTTTGAATGGTACTTAAGTATGGAAAGACAATCGATAATATCAAGAGAATCGAACATGGCATGGTTTTTATTTTTAAGCTGAGATAAGATTCCTCTCCTCCTTTTGATATATCCTGTAGCTGAAAAGCTCTTTAGATATGAGACTAAATACCCATAACTATCGATAATTAGTTATCGATTGTTGTTTACGCTGTTCTATATATTAATTGATAGAACATCTTAAGTTCGTATGCTAACTTAACTAGCTTTTAATGCTTGTTTACATGAAAAAGGAAACCCAAGGACAACAAAGAACCAAAATGTTTTTAGTGAAGCTCCATTTCGCCAGTGTGCGTGTGTCGATGTCTGTGTGTGTGTCGATGTGTGTGTGCTGTTGCTTTTAGCTTTCGCTTTGGTCTTATCGAGGTTTTTCAATTAGCGCAATTGTCTGAGATTTGGCCGGGCCAAAAGGACTGTGCAATTAGCAAGGCCAAGTGCAGACACCTCATGCCACGCCCTCCAACATCGACTTTGCTTTCAGTCTCTGACTGTGTGTGTGTGTGTTTGCCTTGGCATGCGGGCGTTGGGCGTAGCTGACAAATTAGTTGAAACAAGTAACAGTAAACACGCAGGCTTATTAGCGACATGTGCTGCTTTCCTTTAGCTCTCCACTAACTCCCACTCTCTCTCTCTCTCTCTCTCGCTCTCTTTCTCACTCCTTTCATCTCTCTCTCTCTCTCTTTCTCGCTCTACCTCTACTTGCAACAACTTGTGGGCGTTGAGAGTCTTCAGCGCTCTCTCGCCCACTTACTCTCTCTCCCTCCCTCTCCCTCCCTCTCCCTCCCTCTCTCCTTCCCACTCACTCTGTGCCTGCTGTGTTTGTGTTTGTTTTAATTATATAAAATTAGCGCACGTTGCAAGTTGCACGTAGTTGTTGCCACTTCGGCAGCCGCTGCCACAGGCGCAGCGCCTCCGTTCATGCTGGGGGCTCCATTTTGGGCTGGCTCTGCTCCTGCTGCCCCTGACCACTCATAAATCAGTCGAGCGTCGACCGAGTGGCTGGCAAATGAAGCCAGCAATTTCTTTTTTGGCCTTCTGCTCGCTCGCCATCTTCGCCTCGTGCCACGCCATGCCACGCCATGCCCCATTTGGCCGCCCACACGTAACTCAATCAAAAATGTATCTGCCGGCAACAAATACGGCAGGGCTGGCATGAAAAATGCCCCGCCGGCTGGAGTCGCTTTGCTAGTTAATTCTGCGGCTGCTTTGCTGCCATTTTTACCTGTCGAAAATTTCCCGCAGGACGCCGAGTGCCTGACGATGCCTCTGCCAACTGCACAAATTGCACACTCATGCATGTTATTGCCAAGTAACGGCCACAGATATGCCATATATGCACACACACACACACACACGCAGCCATGTATGTAGCTCTGTGTGGGGTGGACACTGCCTGGAGTGGAAAGGGGGCGTGGCAGTTTGCCTGCCAGCTGTTATGACTGCGCAGCGCCGGCTTGCCAAAAAACGAGAAAAATTACAAAATTTTCAATTTTAATATTAGTAGCGGCTGGCGACGCCAACTGACAACTGCCAACTGCCAACCGCCAACTGCTATTGCCCCACTCACCCGTCGCACCCGCACTAACACCTCGACTGCAACCCAGACCAGCCCAGTCCTCGCCCCTCCCCTCCCCTCTCCTTCCATTCATCCTTCTCAACCGGCTGTTTAGGCGCACGTTGTGCATGTCCTTGGCTTGCCAAATGAAATTCATAGCATAGTTCAGGGCGCTGCTGTCGTGTATCCCATATCAGCCACAGTGGTAATTGTGCCAAGTGCAACATTTCCAACTCAATGGCCAGCAATGCGCATAGAAATATGATTTTCATACATTCTCATTTGCCTTTATCGATTGCAAACTGAACTCAGCTGGGCTCGAGTTTTGTAATCACAGTTAATCTAAAATATTTAAGCATCTACTCGTAGTCTAATTAGTTGCTCTAGCCACCTCTTGTCTTCTTAGAGTATATTATTATTATTCTTAAATACTTTTTATGCTTATCCTCTTATACTCTGTGCTCTGCTATGATCTTATACTTGTATTTATAGTCATTCTTATCTGCTTTCTCTACTGAATCTCCTTTAAGCGGATAGCCTGTCTATCGTCTTCACTAAACTCACTCATTTCCAAATACTATCGTTTCTTTTGATAATGTCTCGCATATCCCTTAAACGTATACCTTTATATAAATAAGATCTATCGATAACTGTGAATACACTCGTATCTATCAATAGTTCCGTACATATTACCAAATTGATTTCATATATTTAATCAAGTATTATTCAGTTTATGTTTATCTTTGCCTCTTCTACGTTTCCTTAGCCTAGTGACTACTGTACTGGCAGCTGTTCTTGTTGTTGCTGCAGATGTTAGTATGCCAGCCTATATTGTTTTATGGCATATTCATATAGTTTTCGTTGTTGCCCTGCCACGAGGCCCCCGTCAAATCGCTTACGTTTTCCTTTTTCCTATTTTATTTTTTGGGGCCAACTGCAGCCGTTAGTTGGAAAAACGTCGCTGCAAGTTTCAGTGACCAGGCTTACATTTCACTAGCCCCCCCTCTCTCTCTCTCTCTCAGTCTCTCTCCCTCCCACTCTCTGTGTTGTCTGTCTGTATGTGTCGACTGTCTTTCTGTCCGTCCGTCTGTCGCTGCACACATGATTTATGAATGAGTAACAAACTTGCTGCCGTGTAGCCCGAGCAACGTCTTTGCTCGCCTGCTTCACTTTTTTTTTTCCTTTCGTTCGCTTCTTTATTATTGTTGCTGTCCTGTTTCTGAACGTCAGCGTATCTGTGTGTGTGTGTGTTTGTGTGTGTGTGCACACGCTGGCAATTGCCACATGTACGCCAGAAGATGGGCACCTTCTCCACTTGGATCGATAAAATGCAATTACAGGCATATCGCAAGTGCCAGTAGGCAGCTACCAGGCGGGCAGTCGGAGCAATCGGAGCAGTCGGAGCAGCCCTGGAGCGTCTCTTAGTCCAACTCATGGCAAAAGGTCGTCCATCGTTGTTCAGCTAGTATAAAAAGTCGCCTGGTCCGCCATCGCCATCGCCATCGCCATCGTCGTCATTGTGGCTAGAGCTACAACTAATACCCTTTGATTAACGACACACATTTTCTATTGACTCGCAGCGAAAGCGTCGCCCGGAGCGGGGGCGGCTCGATTGGCTGTTGGCCATTCGTTGGTCGTTGAGCGAGTGCCCTGTGAAGTTGGGCAGTTGGTCTTGGCTAACTAACAACGCCTGCATATTTCATCATATGTACTCTGATCGACCTAGGCAATTGTAATTTGCGAAATTGCCGTGTCCTGCCGGTCATGTCAATAGCAGTCTAACGTCTTCCATGTCATATTCATGGGGAAATCACATCAAACGAGGCTATGCACATTAAATGCTATTTTTAACCCAAAGAAAACAGAAGAAGAAGAAGCAGAGAGAGCCCAGAAAACCACTGACAATTTAGCTGTCATGCTATTATCTGAATTCGAGTTTGAATTTGAATTTGAGTTTGAGTTTGCATTGGCAGCAATAAAAAATAAAAAGGATATTTAAATACTTCATCAATATTGTGCACGAATCAAGGACAAATCGCTTTCACTTCGGCAAATTGTTGTAGAATTGCTGAGCGCTGGCAAAGTGGATTATGAACTATACTATATATATCGAATGGAAAAAGCAAATGTTGACTGAATTAAAAATGAAATCAATTTGTTATACTATAAACATTGAGCTGTAAAATTGCTTCAGCTCAGCCAGAGTTCGCTCAGAGTTCGCTCAGAGTTCTCTTTGTTACACATGCGAGATTTACATGCAAATTTCATTTACTAAAATCATTTCTCGATCTGAACTCAAGTTTTAGCTCTTAAATGGGATTTCTTTCGTTTACTGCAAATAATTCCTCGGAATTTTGCTGCTGCTGCTCTGTAAATAGCTATTTATTTGATTTTAATTTGAAATGGGAATTGCGCTCGGCAATCAGGCCAAAGAATTAATAATATTATTGCCTCTCTCGGCGCAGCTCTCTCTGCTTTATAGACTCGAATAAATCTGCATCGTTGGCAATTTGCAGTTTTATATCTTGCTCATGCATTATCTCTGAACAGTTGTTGCGCTACGCTGCCTCTTCCGCTCGCTCTTCTTGACCCCGCCTCACCCTCATCTTCCTCTCCCCCTCGCTTGCTGTCTCTTCCTCTCTCATTGTTCAGCTGCAGCAGCACATAATTTTTAAATGGGGCGCTGCTTGTTTTTATTGCCATTTGCAAAGGCTGCACTGCCCTGCTCCTGCTCCTCCTGCTCCTGCTGCTGCTGATTCCGAGTTGAGTTTTTGTGTTTTTCATATGACTGCATCATGATGCAGCATTCGGTACTCCAGCGTCCAATTAAACGAAATGTTCTGTGGGTCGCGTTCGCCTCTGCCGCTGCCTCTGCTGCTGCCTCTGCCTCGCTGCTTATCTCTTGGCGGCGCCCCGAAGTATGCAACAATTTTTTATGGGCCGCATACAAGCAAAAATCATGTTTCCTTATTCCCGTGTGCGTAATTTGGTTGGACAGCGGCTCCAACTACATGAGGCCAGCAAGTTAACAAGGCCAGCCATGAACTCTCTCAGTGTGTGTGTGTGTGTGTGTGAATTGTTCATTCTGTGTCTGTGTGTGAGTGTGTGTGTGTAGAGCAACTATAGAGGCAACTATTGATGCATGCACAACTGTCCAGCTGAGTGTGTCTGTGTGTGTGAGTGGCTAATTACTTTTGGGCCACGACATTGTTAGCCGACTATGTCTCTCTCTCTCCCCCTCTCTCCACCTCTCTCACCCACTCTGTCGCCCTGTGTGTGGGCTGCAAAATGGACACATCAATCTTAATGTGCCTCGGCTGTCTCAGGTGGAAGCTGCTGCTGCTGCTGCTCCAGCTGCTGCGCCTCCTGTCACATGTCAATGGGCGTTCGCAATGCGAATTTTCGGCGCGTCATTTAAAACTTTAATAAGCAAAATTGACAACGACAAGCAGCCGACCCGGCATGGCACGGCAGGGCATGGCGCCCATGACCCGCCCACGCCCACGCCTACGCCCATGGCCGAAAAAAAAGAGAACGGACTCACTCGTGCGCTACAAGTTCGTGTAGCGGATGTGCGCTGGAGATTTAAGCCTTTGCCGGACAGCGAATCCCAGTCCCAGTCCCAGTCCCAGCCGCTGCCTCAGCCTCAGCCTCAGCCCCGCCCACTCAGTCGCCCGCTCAGCTGTATGTGCGGGCTATATCCGGTTGCATTGCACAGGTAATCTTTACGACTAGCTCGCTCTCTCTATATCTATCTCTCTCTCTCATGCTGTTAGCCTGGCCATTTTAATGCCACGTTTTTACACACACCAAAAAGAAACTGTATTAGCTCTGTTTGTGCTCGGCTATCTGTAACGGTATCTGTCATGCATTGACAACAACAAAAAAGAGAAAAAGCTGGAGCGTTCGCACTTCCGGCTTGCCCGTCTTCTTCTGCATCGTTAAAGCCCGGAAACGAAGCAGCACAAAAAATGAAAGAAAATATCTACAACAACAACAAAAACAAGAGCCGGAATCGAGTCAATGTGTGTTATTATAACGAACTGTATTATTAACGCTTATCGTTTATCGTTTATCGCTTATCGTTTATCGTTTATCGTTTGAGTGCTCACCTCTGTGCCGATTGGTCTGCTTGTCAAACATCAGCATCGCGTCCTCGATCTGCAAATAGAAAAATGCGAGAAGAAAATGAATAAAAAGTTGTGCTAAATTTTTGTACTTTGTTTTTCACTATTTCTCTCACTCTATCTCTGTCTCTCTCCATCTCTCACTTTCCTTTTTTTTTAAGTTTTCAGTGCGCGCAACTCAATTAATGGCCGACTAAAAGCACTGAGCAGACAAAACTGTTGCTAATTGCAAAACTAAGCGCCAACAATGGCCAACACACACACACCCACAGATACACACTGACAGAGCTCTGGGCAAAAGTTTTTGGCCATTATGACGCAAACGCAAAGGGCAACTTATAATGATAGTTGACTGACTGACAAAACCAGCCCAAACTATGCAACTAACTAAGCGAACAGACTTTGGCCAGTTTGCCCTCAATGATGAACTGCAGCAGACTTTCTTTAACTTACGTATATATAGATAGATAGATATAGACATGCTGCTTTATTATCATATGCTAATTGATAGATTTTTATTGCTAAATAGAGTTGAGCCAGAGTTTGACGTTAATTGTTTTATAATCGCTTGGCCAAACTGGCTTAGACATTAGCTGAGATACTTTGGCTAAGAGTTAATTAAGAGCACTGGGGACTACAAAGATCCACGCTTCGCCCAGTTGTACTGGTAATGCGTAAAGGATCTGCCAAGGATATGCAACCTTTTCGCGCTTTTACAGCTTCGTTAATCAGAGCTGCGGCTACCTTTGTATATCGTATATAAATTATTAATTAAATCTTGCTTCGCTATTGAATTACTTGAGCTGAGGCACTTTTTATGCTCTTGCAGCTCTTTTGACATGTTGTTGCCACACCCACTCACACCCACACACCAACACACCCACACAAGCACACCCACACACACATGCAGTCTGTCTCGCTCGCTCCTTACTCGATTACCATTCCTTGGTAGCTGGGTCTTTCATCTTGCTGCTATTCAATATCATAATATGACAACTTTTCGCTTTGGCCCTGACGCTAATTGCACTTTGGCTGTCAAAGTTGCGAGCGAACATTAATGAGCTGCCTGCCGCATGCCCCAATGCCGCATGCCCCATGCCAGCAGCGATCCTGTTCGCGCTGCTTATGGCCATTGATTAAGTTTAATCAATGAGCTTAAGGCAACTTCTGTGCATTGTAATTAAAGTGCAGCTACAGCCCAATTGACGACGATAACAACAGCCTTATAAAAATTAATTAAGCCGCAGTTGAACCTCGAGCTCGCTGCAACTTGCAGTTGCATTTAACGGGCAACAGAAATACAAAGACAGAGAGTGTGGTAGCGAGAGAGAGAGGGAAGGGCTGAGAGGGAGACTGACTGAGTGAGTGAGAGCGCACAACATTGTTTTTCAATTAACAATCAACAACAATGCCGCAACAATGCGCGTACAAAACCATCAGGCGAAGGTTGCCCCGGCCCCAAATGAGACAAAAATTACCTGCCACAGTGGCAACTGCAATTGCACCATTGCAATTGTTGTTGTTAATTAAGCGGGCAACAGTTGCTGACGACTGTTGCTGCCGCTGCTGCTGCTGCTGCTGCTGCTGCTGTTGCTATCAATGCAGCGGCCAGGCCCATCATAATTACGCCAGACTGGGTCGCTGGCTCATTATGTTGCTGCTGTTACCGCGTGGGCGTAGGGGCGGGCGGCAAACTTTAATTCTATTAGCAAAATGTTAAATGTGCATGGCCACAAGTGGGCGTGGCACTGCCACTGGCACGCTGCGTAATTTTATTTAAATCTGAATTCATTAATTCGTCATAATCCCCCAATCATTGCGCCGTCTGCGTTGAGAACTTCAAAAAGCCATCAACGACAGACGCTGCTTACTACTAGATCCTTGGAGTAAGCCCAATCGCACGCGCTCTGTCTCTCTCTCTCTCTCTCTCTCTCTCTCTACCACTCTCACTCTGTCTCGCTCTCTGCGCTGGGCCAGTGGCTGCCATTCATTTGGCTCATTTTGTGTATAAAAATGCTGCGCCCGCTGAAAACGGCGTCGCTTCATTATCGTAATCGTTATATAAAACAGCGGGCAGGCGACGACGACGACGACACTTGTCTGTGTGTATGTATGTGTGAGTGTGTGTGTGTGCGCGTGTGTTTTATGCGTTTTGCGGCACATTATGTGGCTGTATCCTAGACGAAGTCGCTGCGGCTGTGGCGGCTGCCGTTGCTGCTGCTGCTGCTGCTGTTCCTGACATTAATGAATGTTGCCGACCGAAAAAAAAGTATATAAACAGAAAAATGTATATGTATTCGCTTGAGCTGCGCCTTCCTTGAATGTGGGCAATGGGAGCAAAGAGATGAAACTTAAAAGCAGCCATTGACAGGCAGAGCGCAGAGAGCTCAGGTGCTGCAGCAACTATATATGCCCATATATGCAGCTAGACTAACCATCCACACATATGTTTAAGCAGCTTTGTCAGCTGCTTCCAGAGACATTTTCTACCGAACCACTCTTATCACTGTATTGTAATTATATTGTATAAACATGTTTATGTATTTACGTAGGAATATAATTTGATGTAAATCAATATTAATATTAATATTTTAAGACAATGCATAAGGTCTGCTAAAGACTTATCTAATTCTGCTCACTCCACTTCAATCGCCGTTTGCTGAATCTGTGAGCCATAGAAAACGTTATCCGATTGCGTTTGCGTTCGAGCTGCTCTGCTCTGCGCTAATAATCGCAAGAGAGAGAGAGAGAGAGAGAGAGAGAGAGAGAGAGAGAGAGAGAGAGAGAGAGACAAGAAAGCTGCAGCGAAACGTAGTGTACAATGTTGCTGTGAGCGTGTGAGCGGGATAGACTCTACGCACAGGCTATGAACTGCTCGCACGAAGAGAATGCGAACAGAAATGGGCAGAGGCAGAAAGAGCGAAAAGTGCAAACTATGAATTAGAAAATGAATAAATGGGAATGGCAGGCGATCAAATTGATACAAATAATCTTGTTGAATTTGTAAAAAGTATATAAAGAAGCAAAAAGTCAACTTAGTTAACTAGAAAATCCTAAAAATGCCTTAAATTTGGTATTTTTATATTCATTTACATATATAGTTTACATATTGTGGTATTTTGCCCATGCTGAAAAAGGCCATAAATTTGGCATTTTTATATTCATATAAATTATTTACATAATATGATATGCTTCAAGAGGCCGAGCCTCAATAATATGTTAATTTTCATATATATATTTAAAACAAGTTTTAATAACTAAGTACAATGGCCATAAATTGTCCAAGTTAAAATACATTGCCAATCGATAGCAGCAATCCTTACAAGAGACTTTAAATTTGGGAATATTTAGGTATTTAACGTTTGGCCACTTTATTAAACAATTTTCATACACATTTGCCTTTTGGCTAAACAAAAATACAAAATTATAAAAATTACCTAAAAATTCCCTTTGCATATGCATTCAAGACCAACTCGGATTTATCTAGCGTACATTCTACTGCCTCTGGAGGTATACCCAGCACTTACTTTTATGCAAACTAGCGTGAAATTGTGGCGAAATTGATTTTTGCTCAACTTTTTACCTTTTCGTCTCGTTAAATCAGCGACGGCAGCCGCAGCAGCAGCAGCCGCAGCGGCGGCCACTCGAGCGACTAGAAAGTCCTTCAGCGAAAACTTTTAACTGGATAATTTACAGTAATTCATCTTGCTGTCGCTTTCCTGCGGCTTTCCATTTCTATTTTTATTTTTTCGTGTTGAGAGCGAGAGCGAGAGACACTTTATGCAGCGCTTGATTGCGACAATTTATACGGCGTCCGGCTTGGCTTTTTGGGCATATTGACAGAGGGGGCAAAAAAAGGATGGCGGAAATTTTAAAGCTGCAGCCGCTGAATAGTCGCATTTAATGAAAGCTCAGCGGGGCAGCAGCTGCGGCTGTAGCTCTTGCAAAGTACACTTACACTCAACTCCACACACTCTACACTTACTTATATATACATATATATTTTATATATGTATACTTTTTTTTGGCTAAATGAAAGGAAGAGAGAAAAAAAAAAATAATAGGGAGGAGCGAAGCGAAGCGAAATGAACTTTTTGGTAGCTGGACGTGCGAGTTGTCTAAGTGCCGGATTGGGGGATGGCACATCTTTCAAAAACTTTTGCCGGGCGACAGCAAAAAAACAGGCAGCAGTAGCTACTCTATATGCCAAATATCAGTACACACATTCATGTGCATGTGTGTGTGTACATGACTGCGTGTGGTTGAAATATAGATAAACTTTTTTAAGCTCGTATTTATTACATATTTGGCTGTAAGTAGAATTTAAGTTGGTTTTTGCCTTCGGCGACCCACGCGGCGTATGAGTAATGCGCATAGACATGGAGAAAGCGGAGGGAGTGGCATGGGTGGGGCTGCTGCGCTGCTGGTGCACTCAAGCGATATGTTTGCGACAAATTTGCAATCAAAAACGCATCAATTGAGCTCGACAGCAGCAGCTCGACGCATTAATGAGCAGGCCAGAGCACAGCACGGGCCATACGAATATGTGTATATGCGATGTATATTTCAATTAAAAAAGGATTCCGATTTGTAATCCACAACTTGATTTGTTGTTGCTCCTGCTGCTCCTGCTGCTGCTGCTATGCCAGTCATGAATCCGACGGACCCAACATTAGCAGCACGAATGAAACGCAAGTATGAATATTAAATTGTGTATGGAGATTTGAGCAATTAAGTGAAACAGAGACAGCAATAGCTAAACACAGACTGAGTGAGAGAGAGAGAGAGACAGTGGGTGGGAATGAATGGCAAATGGCAATGATGGAAAAGCTTTTGCATAGTTTATGCCCTTGGCTTAGTAGATCAACTATTAATGGAAGAAAGAGTGAAATTTTATGGCACGCAAGCAGCGTTGAGGTGGGCGAGGTGGGCGTGGCTGGGCAACTACAATCGGTATACAAAAAGCTGTCCTTAGTTAAGCAAAGGTCACGAGCAGCATACAATATTTACATATGAATGTTGCTAGTATGAGTG